ACTACACCAGATCCGGTAAACGACTCCAGCCGTTTCTTGCCGTGGCAGTGGGACTTTCGGCCTTTCGACGTTTTGTTTATTAGTTATATTCTGTGGTAACTTTTCGTTTTTCGTCAAAACAACAATCCAAAGTGCGTCGTGTGGCAGGAGAATTGGAAACTGGAGCCTGTCCGCTAAGCTCGATTTTATGGATCGTATTAACAAAAACGGCAAGTACTAGGCCAGAGCGAACCTCCATGCAGGGTACAGAAGATTTGGCCTGACTGCCGATCCCTCATTTAAATATTTGCGTCATCCGTAGGTTTAAGGCTTATTAAATCCACAGTGTCATCATGGTGCATGTGACCAATTCATGTGAGGCTCTTGCACTTTTTCCGCAGATTTTTCTCCGAACGCCTCTCTTTAAAACGACAGACTGCACAAAGAAAATTTTGTCCGTGATTAACCATCGATCAGAGTATTTAGTTGTTTGCTTTTTAACTAACTAAACCGAGCAGTTCTGTTAAAGGCCTACACATCTGGTTTTAAAATGTGAAACAAGGTATGAGTTCATATCCACATACAAACGGGTATAACTCTTCTGGAGAAACCGTTCTAGCTTCGAATCGGGCAGCCAGTAACCAATAGGTTTCTCTCAGTTGTAGCACTGCCGAATAAGTGGTTCCTTCTACATGGTATGCGGGTATGCTATTTGAGAGAGAGAGAGAAATGCTATATTTAGGATGAAATATCCTAAACTTTCAGCAAAAATGGCTCCATTCACGGAGAGCAACGGATAAGGTAAATAAGGGGTCATGGTAAAAGGTCATATAATACCCAAAATTAAAGTTTTGCATGATGTCCACATCAACTATGGAGACAGATCAGCTTTCAACTTCTCAATTTCCGCTTCTTCACACGTGAAGTAGCGTGCTAGGAATGGGTGTACACAGTTCTGATATGCCGATGTACGGCAAGACACATGACGGAAGCCTCGGCGCATTGTGCGGGAAAACTTTGCA